CGGGTACCTGCTGGAAATCGGAGAACCTAATTTCAGTTTCCTTCAGGCATCATTTTGCATTGTAATGGACAAAAACATTTGATCCACTGGAAACGTACACCGGCTCAAAGAAGGGAGATGATAGAAAGTTGGGTGAATGGGGAGGTTGAGGTGGTTGAAAGCTGGCATTGATGAATAAGACTTCAGAAGCAGTAAGGAGCCCCCCCCCATTAGGACCAGAGCTTAAGCAGAGACACATTTGAACAGTTCGCTCTTCATCGGGGTGACTGATGCGGATTGTCACAAAGCTCGGTTCATCTGCGATAGCAGCGTTCCAAATGTGACCTCCATAAATTCAACTGTGCAAATATTTGTGAAAGGTTGCTTTCCCATAATTTCACACATTTAGCCTTATCTGAACGCGACGTAGTACTGTGTGCCCGTGCCTGTTGAGCCTCCAGGGCTGCCGTCGTTTCATGTTGCCAGAATATCTATCACACGTGCCTCCTTGCACACATGCAAGTTGATGGATGCCTTCGGTTAGTGGTTGTTACTCTGGGAACCCAATAAATAAGGCTTGGCTGGAGCTTATGCATATCTGAAGGTAATAATCACATGGGGGCTACAGAAACAAGTGCTGGGGAGGGAATTGGAGGTGGAGATAGTCAGCTGGGGTAGAATAATATTAAAGCAAAAACAAATCCGATGGTTTCTTAGAACTAAACAAAATACACAGCATAGTACTCCAGAGACTGTTTCAATATGAACCATGTACATGCCTGGATAAAAGCACTGTTTTGATATATACCTTACTAGGCCAAGAACATCGCTCTCGGAGTCTGCTTGTTTTGGTAGGAGTCATATCTACAGAACAATCGTGCAGTGCAGATGTTTGGTAATGGATATCTACACTTTGGAAGCCCTTTGGCCAAGCAGGAGTGGTCATTATCACGGAAGAGCGAACAGCAAGTGTTCGTATACAGATGTGCTGGACCAGGCAGGAGATATTCACGCACAGGCAGGTTCAGGATTATGTGGTTAGCCTATTGGAATCTCGCCATCACTCGATTAGCTTTACTACCTTGCATTGCATGCAGCAATCTGGGGTTTTATGTTGCACACATTCTTACAGTTGCGAAATACCCTAGAATTACAAACCATTTGCATTACTAGTTCATTACGGAGAAGCACAGAAGAGTTGATCGCGGTAGATAACAAAAGCATGTTTCAGTTTAATCCAGACCTCTATGCGTCTATTTCATCATCCCTCTAGTTCCATTTATCAAGGCCAGAAATGACAATTTACAGTGAACACTGCAATGAATGTCAAGCAGTGACCATGTCTGCCAAATAATTTTCTCCTGCTGTTAATTATTGTAGTGAAATATGTCATGAATGAACCATCATCTTTAAGACGTTAATCAATGTCTCAAAGCGATTCGGGGAAACCTGTCTTCGCTCATAGACAATAAGGGGAAAGATTAGCGCTCGAAAGTGTTCATTAGTCAAACTCGATTTTGTGGGCAAAAATCTCCCATCATTTAGATGCATAAGCATAAGATCTAAGAGCAGCATACAGCAATGACTTACACAGGCAAACGCCCCAGGGGATTACATGGATAACCAAAACCTCACATGAGTCTTTAAGGGAGGAGGTGACCCATTTTCTGACTTTATCACAGCGTAGTGACTAACAAGAACTAATCAGCTAGACCTGAAGCTCCCAAAGAGAGGCTGATAGGCTGACAAATGAGTGAATGGTAAGTTTGCAATGAGCTGCACCGTGAATTGGATCACAGGCAATGAGAATTAATGAGACAGTCCAGGTACCTGGAACTGCGAGGTTAATGCATGCAGATTAAGCATCCGGAATACTTTCCTTACGTGCAATTAAAGTGCTTCCGATTGAGCCAGGAGAGCAGCATATTTTGCACTGCCCAAATTTAAATGCCAGGCCAGAATTGGTGAAGGATGCAGTGGGACACAACACTGTCTGGGTCTTTTGGGTGACCCTCTCTGTGTTTTAACATGATGCTTCTCTATAAACCCCACGCGGGTGCTGGACTGCCTGTAGTGAAACATTCAACCATTTCAGAAACTCTGTTTTCACATACGTCTCACTGCTTATGTCCTTTTACGGGCTTCGTTGGTCTCATTTGTTTATCTGCACCTTCATACTTTGACATACTTTGGCCTGCTTTCACACACTAGTGAATTGCATTGTGGGAAATTCTTCTGGAAAATGCGATTTCTAAGCACACGCACATAAATGTTGGCAGACCACACGAATAGCTGCAGTGCTTTAAACTATCAAATCCAGTTTGTAACAAAGTATATATAAGTTAATAGTTATCAGAAGAGCAACTGAGGATGAACCGCGATCAGATGCTTAATGTCTGAAATGCACAACTGTGTTAAGCAGCCAAAGAGAACCCCATCTGACAGACAAAGACCAGCTTGTACAGGGACTCTTTATGAGTGTAGCCCATCTGCAGACAACACAGTTAACTCTGAATGGTGCTGGTCTCCAGTGTCTCCGATGACCATATAATCATAAAACATTCAAATGTCAACCCAGCAGGGATTAAACACCTGTAAATTTCCCAGCTGTGTTGACAGCATGCTGGTCGATGGAGCCTGCTGAAAGTACTCATACTGCAGAAATTGAATAGCAGATTAGTATTCAAAGAAAGCAGCCATACCTACTATTCCATATCCATATTTCCTGTCAAGCTAAATTTATAGCGCCGCAGTGTGAATTTAAAGAGCGGAGAGCTGCGGCCATCGTCGCATGACACAAGGGGTGACAATCCCTGGGAGGGTTAAAAGGCCATGGTTGAGGAACGGTGCTATGCATGCCATCATAGCTCAGTATAGCCCAGAGATTTCGGAGAGGCGTGGTTGAAAATCCTTCCCCTAAAAAATGTACATTTCTGTTACGGCATTATGAAAATATAGTGTCTGAGATCAGTCATTGCAACATACAGGATGTCAACCAAAAAAAAAAAAATGTGATGCTTTCGCACCAAGTATTTTAAAAGAAGAGGTTTTTGTTAAGCACAACAAGGCATGCCTAGCACGTGGCTGAGTGCTAGGCAACATGCAAGACTGCATCCATGCAAATGCACAGAAATACATCACAACTACAATCAGAGAAAAACAAACACTAGCAGCTGTTCCAAACACTGGGAGACACAGACTGTTGGAAAAATAATCAAGTTTGTCTATAGCCTTGGTTCTGTTCCATAAACGTGTTTGTTTTCCGCCGTATCTGGCAGACGAGACTCCTTGCGCTGAAGGTTAATGTGTGCTTTGTCGCCCTCTATTGTTAATAAGCAGAACAGCACAAAGAAACTAGCAGCCAAGATGATGGAAAATTTGAACAGCAATGTATGGAAACAGCGGACTGAGAAAACAATGGAGTAGATCAGGATATTTCACATTTTTGGTAAATTAAATTCCATAAAAAGGGAAAATGTCAATGTGCTAATTAAAAACTTGTTCATAATTTAACTAATTAAAGAAATACTGTCCACATTTTTACATTTGCAACACACATACACAAACATTAATGTTTACATCTACATTCATCACATGCAAACACAGACATAGATTTACACATGCCTACTACACATAATACATGTATTAAAAAAATTGTGAACGTCCCCCATAAATTAAGTTTCAGTAATGCATCCCAGATATACAGAAGCCAATGGGAAAAAGATCGAGAGGTGAATTAGATAAACTCATCCACTTTTCATACATTCTCATCCCAATGCCTGTCTCTCTTACAATCAGCTTGTGAATTCCCCCAAGAGGCAACAATTCTCGCCACTCACTCGTCATTCCGCAGTAGTTAACGTGACAGAGCCGCCACCCCGCTCGGGCATATGTTCAGAACCGCATGGCTGTTTGCCGGTTGTGTGGAGATCATCTGTAACGGCCAGCAAACCTTCCACACGACGTGAGCATCCACTTTCAGTGAGAACTAACAATACTCAAAGGTACGCGTGCTGCAGCAGGGACAAGAAATGAAGTATTCTCCTTTACGATGGTAAAACTCAATTTCTGTTTCAAATGCACTTGTTTCTTTAGGTTAAAGGACAATTAGCTGTCTTGTCCTCTTTCATATTCAGTAGAATATTTTAATGGGTGCAGTTATAAACCATTACAAACAACACATTATTTAAACCTTGCCACCCACACAACAAACTGCTGTGAGGATAGCCAACCAACATCCAAAGAAATGCAAAAAAGAGGATCTTTCCACAGACTTGGGAGGCAATTATCACTCAGAATTGAGAATGCATCCAAGCTGTTGTCTGAAGTATAGGACTGGATCCAAAGTGGGAATATTATTAGTGTAAATGTAAGTAAGGACACAGGAGATGAAAAGTAGGTCGAACTGAAAGCCTTACTTATCTGGGAAACTATAAAAGACCATCAGACCTGGAAGAGTATAAGGGTTAAAGTGCAATCCCAGTCCAGATTTTGGTTTCTGTCCAAACTGGTGTCTAACTGGGCAGCCTGATGGCAAAAGGAGGCCAGCATGTAAATGCATCCTGTGCCTGAACCTTCCCTGTGATATGACCGCGGTGGGTGGCCCAGAACGCATCAGTCTGCAGCGCTACTCCCTCGGCTTTCATACGGACAAAGGAGGGTTTTCGCAATAAACACATCATAACGAGGCTGACACTATTGCGATGTAACAAATCCGTGAAGACAAACTAATTTCAATACTCATTATCTTTAAAGTTGCTGTTCAGCTTCGACTAATACGTGGTTTACAGTTAAAATGAGCTCAAAATAAAACGTGCGAACGATTAATGGAAGATACTTGGCTGCATTATTTATCACCATATTCGTAATGTTTGCAGATCAGTAAATACTAAATTGCATTATACTTTTCATTTACGTTTAAGTAGATATTTATAAGTAAAACGTCGTTTCTTTGATACCTTATTAATTAATCAATATTTAAAAATCTTAATGATTTTCGCGACACCGACTTATGCTTTGTTTTCCTTGACTGGGCTTGTTAATACTGAGATTTATTAAGTTGGAAAGGTGGCGCGGCGTTTTTTATGGCATTTCTCCATGGCTGCACTTTACGGCCCTCTGGTGGAGAGACTGGTAATCGGGGCGGAGGAAGCGGCTGATTAATCCCGGACGGAAAGCTTCGCAGCGCTGGGCGGCTGAGCGTCGCCCCGGGATCCGATTCAGCCCGGGTCGGCTCAACCAAACACAATAACAAACAAACTAATAATAATAGTATTAATTAATATTAGAATAAAACTCTGCAGACAAGCTTCTCTAGGGTACGTATCCCTGCAGCATTTAACTAAGCTGGTGAAATTTAGCCGTTTGCTCGAACTTTATCATGGTTTTTAAATCGGGAAGCTAAAAGCTGTTAGCATGTCGGCTAAGGGCCAGTCGCAGTGAGAAGCAGGCGGGTGCCTAGCGCGTAGGCCCCGGCCCGACTTATTGTGATTTCAGCGGCCGCCGTGTAGCCGTTTAGCACAAGCAGCCTGCCGTGTGGATGTAAAAAAAAATGCCCAGGCGTCTAGCGTTTTTATTCCCGCTGTCTGACGTTACTGTAGTAATGTTTGTAACAGCGGGGATGTGGGGCGCTACCCCAACCCCGGAGTTAGGGAGCTGGGCTAGCCGCTTAGCAGTGCCGTGCCCCTGCCGGTGCTAGCAGCATCTCTCCGGCTCGGCGGAAAGGCCCTAGTCGGTGCTTAACTAGAACTACCCTATCCAGGTGTCCCTAACTGGTTAACTCTTGTAAAACTAGTCGTGTTTGTAAACGTGTCTTGTTCATAACAATAAATCGATTTCTGGCTAATAATTTGCCTTTCTACAGCCATCGTGATGTCACTCTAAAAGGTCACCTTTTTAAATGTCCTGGGAAGCTTGTAAGTTCCTTTGTGGTTGGAATTTATACGATAAGTAATTAATGCACGATAAGTGTGCATTAATTTTATATACGTCTGCAGTTCAACTCATTTCGAATATATATTACTATTTTTCTGGGTTTACAGGCTGTACTGTAATCAAAACCAGAATGTACACATTTCACCCTGCTTGTCAGCTGTGTTTATTTTATTGTAAATTTTTAAGGGGAGAACAGAACTACAGTTCTGCATCTGAAAGAGGAGGAAGAAGAGGAGTGCTTCAGTGTGAAGTCCAAAATGGATGGTATGTCCGTTTGTTCTTCTGCTGGTCCTGCTAGGTTCACGCAACATTAAGTCTAGATTTCCCCATAGGCATTGCTTGACATCAAGTCACATTTGTCCGTGTGTGCAGGTGATGTGGAGAATCAGGTGGAGGTGGAGGAGAAAACACGGCTCATCAACCAGGTCTTGGAGCTTCAGCACACTCTGGAAGGTAGGGATGAATCAGGGCCAGAGGTGGGTAATTCAGGTCTAAAGAGTAAAAGTCCAGACCAAGATTTTGTTTCAACCAACCATTGAGTATAAAGCAGGGGTCTCCAACAACGGTCCTGGAGAGCTACCGTCCAGTAGGTTTTCTATCCTACCTGGCTTCTGATGAGCCACAGCTGTTCTCAGGTAAATACCAGGAGCAGGTGTGGCTCATCAGAAGCCAAGTGGGACAGAAAACCTACTGGATAGTAGCTCTCCAGGACTGGAGTTGGAGACCCCTGGTATAAAGAGTCACAGTCACAGAGGACTCTGACTCTGACCAACCGCTTATTTGGATCAAAAAGCTTGGGACAGAATAATTCCTGCACAAATACTGTTTAAATAATTTGCTTATAGTAATGAAGTAGTCCTTTAATGGTGTTCATTTTGGTTTTTTTTTATACATAACATATCAAAAAACTTAAAACTATGGTAATTGTTTTTTTTTATTTGCCTACTTTGCCTTGCGGTAACCTGTCTGCTACTGACTAGCTACTGACCAGCTACCTGAGGCTAATGCTGCGATCACAGAAAATACGACTGGAAAATGAGTCATTTGCTCTCAATTATGAATATAGACTCATCAAAGATTATGATAAACTGCCAAAAACGAGCCAATGAGATGCAGCAGTGAAACTATCATAAGCTATATTTTTATAATATAAATATATATATATTCTATATATATATTCTATCCTGTTTTATAGTGTATTTGAATAATACAGTTCAGTAATTTAATTTTTGCAGTACTGTAATTTGAAAAGCATTTGAAACAGCTGTACTGTATTTTGAAGGAGTCAATAACATTCAGTAAATAGCGACGCTGTTTAAGTTATATTCGTGTAATAAATATACAGATGTCAATTAGATGGTTTTCTGCCTGAGACATAAAGAAAAACATTATATTAATTTCACCTAGACAGACGTGATCACTATAAATGGTTTATTTTGTTTGTAAGAATTGCAAACTATTTTCTACTTTTGTAGGGAATTTGCTTTTTACATTAAAACTAAAATGTGACTTTTCATAAGACGTTTTCATTTCAAGAGATTTGTGCTTTGATTTCAGTTGCTTAAAATATTCAATGAATAACCATAAATGGTTCATCTGTGTGTTTCCTTCAGTTATTTTAAAATCATAAAGATCTACAGTCTTTCATCATAAAAAATATCCCAGCTTTAATAGTTGAGCATATTTACAGTACAAACCTTGTCAATGAAATATGAGGACAAAAAAAGAAATTGTTCATTAATCGTAATCAAGGTAAAATCATGATGTTGATTTGAGGTCATATTGCCCAACCCTATTTAAATGTTACTAGATAGTGGAAGTAGTTGTGTTAGCTTACGTAAAAATAAAAATTTGAAAAGACCAGTGGTTGTTATACCCAATAGGCAATTAGAGGTGATTCAGTGCTCTTGTGTTGTTTCCCAGACCTCTCTGCACGGGTGGATGCAGTGAAGGAGGAGAACCTGAAGCTGAAGTCTGAGAACCAGGTGCTGGGACAGTACATCGAGAACCTCATGTCGGCCTCCAGCGTCTTCCAAACCACCGATACGAAGGGCAAACGAAAGTGAGGTGCTGTGCCCCTTACCTACAGCCCCCTCTGGCAACACGGCCATGTTTACACTGTCAGTACCTTAAACAAGACGCCCTTGAAGCTCTGTCGGTTGTTCTAAGGTTCGGTCGGGAAGCTTTCCTGCTTTTTTTTTTTTTTGTTTTGGTTTGATCTGCGAGTTGCGCTTTTGGAGAACGCTTTTTTAATAAGGCATTCAGCTTATGAACCTGACAGGAATAAGCTTCGATTATAGTGTTTTACTGGCTGATATTTTATGAACATTGGTTATTTCCAGAATGTTGAAAGGGCCTCCTTCGACAATGGGCAAATTTATACAAGGGAAAAAAAAACCACATTTCATATCAGGAAGCCAGTCTATTCTGCCTTAACTATTATTAGTTAACTAGTATTGTTTCACTCAACTGTAAAGTTTCACTGTATTGTAGCATCATATATGCAGTGCATTTTTCAAATACACCCTCTTAATAAGTGTTACTGACTTAATGAGAAGAAGCACAGACACAACATGAGTAAGCACCTTTGTTTTATAATATTCCCTCCCTTGGTCAATGGCTCTGGAAGGTATATAAAGTGACTTAGGTTAAGAGTGCCAGTGTTAGCCTCATGTAAGCGGACATGCAGCAGAGCTTGCACAGGAAACCCGAATCACGTCTGTGGACAAGACAGTAGAAATGAGCTTGTAAAACTCTGATAGCACAATGTGTGTAATTATGGGGAAGTATCACATCAGTGAAGCACATTAGACCTCAGCAGAGAGGAGTCTGGACTGGAACAGGATTTTGGTTACGTTTTATTCTAAGTGCAGTACATCAAGGACTTGGGCTGTTTCCTGTCCTGCCTCTGCTCACAGATACCTACAGACGAACTGAACTAACATATGGGACTAACAGTCTGGGGTAGTGCTGTGTATTCCTCATTTCCGATTGCTATTGTTTGATCGAGTGATCATGGATCCGTTGCTCATGTATTCTGCAGGGCATCTCTTAAACAATGAATTTTTTTAAAGAAAGTTTAACCTTTTTCTGGCGAGCTCTGGTTTGTTCCTGATGAGGTAAAACAGCCTTTTTGGAAAAGGGAATTGTGCGATAGTTTGTGCCATTTTGTGTAGATCTAATTTATTTCATATATTGAACATTTTTTTTATTATTTGCTTAATTTACACATGTAGCATTTACTAACATCGTAATGCCTTGCTTTCTGTACAGTTGTATTCCATTTTGGTATTTTGTTTTATTAAAAAAAAAATTTTTCCTTTTGTGCCAGCTGGAATCGTGTTTTAATCGTCGACATTATATCCAATGCATTAAATAAACAAAAAATGAAAAGATAAATGCTTGTCTCGATCAACAGTTTTTACCTTACTTAGGGCAGCTTGTGTAACGGAGGAGGATAATATTTGTAATTTCTTCTTATTGAATGGGAAGTACTCTTGCAGAAGCAAATTGAATGGATGTACTGGATCAGTTGGTTCATAAGGTTGAAAGTTCAAGAACCAATATGAATCATCCAGGTGTAGCAGCTGTAGGCAAATGTAAAACTTTCAAAAATCCAGGTGCTAAATTAATAAAAATACAAGAAATTTGTACAGGGAGCCAAAGGGGAATGGAGATGATGATATGACTGAGGGGAGGTTTGGCACACTTGACTGAAAGACTTTGAACTACATTCCTTGTTCCATGTCCCCCTATTCCTTGCTAAGATTGAAATCTGTTACTCTTTCAGGATATCTATAGATGCCAGCAAGGAAAAAATGAAGGGCCAGTGTAAGGTTGTTGCACTAAATATGCAGCAGAAAAATTGTCTGATTCTGAAAGTGTAACAACCCGTGACTCATTATGCTTTTATCGTCATGTATCACTGAGGAGTGATGAAATAAGTGGTTTAATTTAGAACAAATAACAGCTTAGTTACGGAATGCCAGTCCAAAGGACAATACATGTGATATGTACAGATCCTGAGATGGGTACTTAGAGATGTATGATTTTAACATCCTCTTCTGTTTTGTTTGATGCTTTGGATTAACCAGATTCTGTCAGCTTGCTTTAGATTTACTTTTTTTTTTGTTTCTGCTGCAGGATGTCAGCCATTAGACTATTTTTTAAAGTCTTACTTTTATATAGTTCTTGTTAGAACTGTGTGTTTTCTGACACAACGCCTTGTGAAGAATATGCACCAAACGTGGGAGATGGTCTTGGTTGTCATAGAAGTCACAATTCTCTGTAGTTATTTGCATTTCCAGACCACGCCATCCAAGAAACAAATCAGCTAATGCTGGATATTTGTGTATGTAAATGATCCTCTTTCACATATGCAAGCATAAGCTTGTTTCATAAGGTAAGAACGATTCTATTCAATGTAACAATGTGTCCAGCTCCTGAAGTCTAGGACTGTGGGTGTGTTCAACAAAAGTACGTTATATTTTACTCCAGAATTTTATTGGAAATGCTTTATGGGAATTACTAAGCGACACATTTTTTTATGCGGAATTGTAAAGAAGGTTCCTTCCATAAGAGAAACAAACCTGGAAATTCCCATGTTGTCCACTTTTTACAGATATTTCAGAAAATTAGACTGTTTCCAAAAAAAAAAAAAGAACACAAACTCACAAGTATAGTGTAGAGGCTTTCCTGTAAGCCTCAAAAATGGATGGCCAAGTGCTCTCAACGCGTAGCTTTCAATAACCAATGTCCAAGCTGTCTCTGCAACTGGGTGATGTTCCCGTTTATTCCATACCTTCAGTTGATATAGAAGGACCCTTTGCTTTTACATACAACACTTGTGCTGTTTAATGTGCTGGCAGCGTGCTGTCTGTGCCATGTTCCCTTACAGGTGCTACGGTAAGAACCGTGTTCCCTCCACCATCCACACCATCCAGTTGGAAAACACCTATTCATAACCACCTGTCCTCACGTGTTCACATACCCATCTGTCCTCACGTGATCAAACCACTCCATGCAATACAGCCCCCAGTGGCCAAAACCTGTAATACACCCCAAAGTTATAAATGGCTCCCACATATAGTATAGACAACAATAGTAACAATAAAATTTTTTGGCAACATAAAAAACGAGGGGAGAAATGAATATTTTCAGTCTAGTGCAGAATCTGACATGTATTATAAGGGTATAATAGTACTTAAGTAATTTAAGAAACAGTTAAGATTTTGTTATAAAATCTGTTATATATTTCTTCTGTGAATCTTGGTGTTTGATGATTAAAATTGACTCTGGGTTTTATTTACACATTGTGTTTTGTATTTTCATTCTTTTATTGAACTTATATATCATTATATTTAAACATCTAACACTTGGTTGCATGTATTTTTATACTCTTTGAGTTTATTAATTCATGTTCATCACTTGTCACCAGGGGTATCTTTATGGCAACATTGTGAAAACTTCTTGCTAAAATATTGATGTGATGCCTTGACAAATAGTTTCCTCGTGATATGATGTAAGACGTAACATGGACCGCGGCTTGATGTCTTGGAAGGTCTGTGGTGCTCCTGATGGATTCTGGGCCGGCTGGATGGTCATCAGACATCCCAAGCTCATGAGGACTGTACAAGCAAGGTGACCAGTGCAGAGATCCATCAAGCTCGAGACACACAGTTGTCAGGAGTTTACTTCCTGGATGCAAGCTACCGGGATAAAATCTTGACAGAATTGTCAAAAGAGTTCTATCCGACAAATACATCTGTAAAAAACCACTGCATTTTTAAAAGGTGTGTGGATGCTGTTCCAAAAGACTGCATAATTCCATGGTTAGTCAAGATTAACTTAATTCTTGGTTTTGAAAAAAAAAAAATTTAATGGAAAAAAAATCTGATTGTAGAGAACTCGTGTTGAAATATTAATACTCTTTTAAACTGCTCAGAGATGCAACAAAGTACATGGATCAAACAAATCTGTGTAATACAAAGATGCAGCTCTTGCCCACATCTCCACCCACTTAATGAAGTGGATAGGGCAAGTCTCGACAAGGAAAATTAACCAACACCTATGGCATTGTGCTTGACTACTGGATGTTTCATTCTAATTGTAATCTTTACATACAGACATATAGTTGTGTCCCTCTACACCAGGGCTCTTCAAATCTAGACCTCGATTCCATATCCAGGCCTTGTTTTCAGTTCTCCCAGGCAGTTACTTTAATAATTACTAATTCTGATTGGTCAGAGGCTTCACACCTGACTGACAGGTAAAGGAAGGCTGGAAAACCAGCAGTGCTCAGACCTCAAGGACTGTGATTTGAATAATAGGGTTCTACACCAATTGTGTATCAGTATTGACAAGAAGTAGCCATAGTTCCCATATGACGCTTTTCCAATGACATACAGGAACCGAGCTGTACCGCAAAGAGAGAATGCATCAATACGTCTTGATGTGCAACACTACTAATAATGAATAGTATATAGAATATGCCATTTTCCTTCAGATAATCCATACATATTGAAGCAGGACACCTGAATCTCCCCGCATTTTGACCAATCAGACAGTGGTGATGCAGCCAGCTCCGTTTGGTCACACTTTTGGCCCTGCTAGTAAGCAGGGCCATGTCACTGTGGGGTTACGGCTCAGATACTGTTCGGATTATTTACAATAGAAAACTGTCAGCTTGGAGTACGGCTTGGTTCCTGGTGGCAGTGGAAAAGTGTCAAAAGTACTCTGCTTGCCAGTGTACTATAAAGCAATGTTTCTCAAACCAGTCCTCGGGGACCCCCCCAGACAATCCACATTTTTGTACCTGAGAGTTGGGAGAGAGCAAAAATGAGGACTGATTTGAGAAACACTGCTGTACAGCGTCCGTATCCCAAGCCAGTTACCTCACTGAGAAGCACCCAGAAGTCAGAGTCAGTGTGAATGAGAAGCCGCATTGCAGAAATCCTCTGTAAAGGTGATTCAATCGTTCCTTCTGCTAGTCCATTCACAAAAGAACCTGGGGCCATGCAGTGAAAGGCCACCTTTTGTAAATTCCAGTGCTCAAGAGCTGTAAATCATGCCTTAATAAACAGTGATGTTCATCAAGAATTCTATCATCGTACAACTGATTCAATATTTTTTTTTTTACTATTTATTTGTCATCAGAAACGCATCGGCGCATCACGTGATTGGACTAAAGAACATTTTCTTGGAAAAAATTGAGCAATGCACATTCTTCTAAATTTATGAAGATTACAAAGTCAGTGAAAGGGAGGGAATTCACTAGAAAAGTATTTTCTAAATTGCATTATTCACAATTCAACTTCACAGTCTTCTCTCATAGTAAGGTACATATGGCTATAACTTTTCAATAATGTGTGCAATTCATTATACAGGCTAAAGAAAAATTTCAATATGCTATAATAATGAAATGCTATAATACACTAATATGCTACATTCACAAAGAGGGTAAGGAAAATACCTATTACAACAAAGCCATCCTTGGACAGCATCCTTTGGTCGATATTCTCTAGTACTGAAGTCTGTGAAGAAAAACATGCCGTCACCATCTGACACCAACTGAAACAAGCAAGTGTGTTGATCTCGTTTCAAAAACTAGAACTTTATCACAAAAGGTATCAGGTGCAGCGACACCCGTATTTACAGATGCAGTACCATGCACATCCCTTAACCGCATTTTTTACTGAAATTTGGGTGATTTCATTGAAATTAGCAGCTGAGTATAAACGATCACATTCACAGAGCACGCAACCGGTTGGTTGAAACAAAATCTTGGTCTGGATTTGAACTTTCTGGAGCTGAACCCTCCAAAAGACTGAGAACATTGCTACAATGTAACATAAAGGGATGCAGCCCTCACGTCACTAGGGAGAACTTCCACCGTGGTGTTGTAAAACTTGTCTCCATTTGTCTCGATGTTTCCACTACGAAATAGGTAGCTGGGGAAAAAGTTTGTCATTCTGGTGAAGGACTGAAATGACTGGACTTTAAAGTCAAAGCTGTAACAGCAGACATACTCTTTTATGAATGTTCATCAGATTGTTGGTAGAGAAATATTGGCTGTCTAGCATGTTAACCTTGTCATGATAATCGACTAGATGAAATATACAGCCCACCAGGCCTAATATGAGTGTTAAGAGAAGAGTCAGATGAATATTCTCACCCTTTCACAGTCTGCGGCTGAAGAAAACTGATCAGGATGTAGTCTCCTGCCGCCGGGGTCAGCCCCCAGAAGAAGTCCACTCCCAGGTAGGCCCGTTGCAGTGTGTGGCTCTGGTAGACACTCAGGCTACTTGTCAGCTCTGCATGGGGGTTGCGGTGGCTTTTGAACAGGATTTGATTCCCAAAGTCCTTGTCCTGGAGTGAGAGGATGGCTACAGCAAACTCGATAGGAGCTGCAGTAAACATCCCAGCTAGCAGCATCAGCGGAAATAAAGACTGTCGGAAACCGGGGGGATGGGGGGGGGGACACACGTGCCCCCCAGTATTGGCAGATTCTCCCCCCTTTCCCAAAAATGATCATGAACACTATTATCCTATAATTTTCTTAAATTTACATTGGTTATCCTTGAAAATGACAACATAAGTTTAGCACCCTGTTGGCGGTTTGTGGTTTTTCCCTCCTCAGACCCGTCTCAGCGGGTACTCACCCGGGTACTCACCACGGCTGACGGTGGGCGCCCCACAAGCCGTGCTCTTTCGGAGATGCTCTGACCCAGTTTCTGGCCATAACATCATCCCATTATGGACTGGTGAAATACACCATTATGGACTGGTGAAATACAGAGAACAGGCTGCTCACCTTCAAATTCTGGATCTTCCCAGGCAGTGAGGAATGGAGTCCCACGTGTTGAAAGAGAGAGGGCTTGTACTGACGCTTAACGCTGTCCTTCTCTCTGTTACAGTGCATCTGTTATGGAAATCTCCTGTTAATGGAAAGTATCTATTCCAGTGGTGGCCAGTGTATATGCAGGTTTTTGAGGGTAACTTTAGATCAGCTGTTTAAACCCAGTAGTGAGGATGTCTCAGCCAATCTGCTAATTAGTAATTAGGGAGCTGCAGTGAAAACCCACATATACAACAGCTCTTTCTGGATAAGACAGGCCACCCTCTGATATACCTTTTCATTCATTCAAAAGTACAGTATATACAAACCAAGCAGTGGTATCCTAATTGCATATAGGTGTATTATATTGATCTTAGTCTCTATAACACATGTACACACAAATGTTACCATTCACTAGAGACTGAAACAGTTCAATTGCTAACCAGCTGAAATACAGACTGACGTACCACATCCTTTTCAGGGTTGCACACTTTCACCCACAGAAAATGATCCAGGAGCCAGTCGATGGGTTTGTCCTTATAGAACATCAGAATGAAGTCCACCAGCACTGGAATATCTGAGGCTCGGAACATTTTGCCTAGGGAATCCACACACCCGTAACGCACAGTGCCATAAGGTTCCGAAAGGTATTTAAATGAAATAGACAGAACATAAATATGAAAATGTTCCCTCCAGTTGTCTTTATTGTTCAAAATGCCTTATAAGGTGCTTGAGTGGCAGTGTCTTGAAAGTGAAGTCAAAAATATGTATCTATATATCTCTGTGGAAAGATCTGCCATTGCAGTGTCCTGTAACGGTCAAAGACAGAACCTGATCAGTGTCCTGTAACGGTCAAAGACAGAACCTGATCAGTGTCCTGTAACGGTCAAAGACAGAACCTGATCAGTGTCCTGTAACAGTCAAAGACAGAGCCTGATTCCCTTCAGCTAATTTTCTACCAAGTTCATGATTGTGCTTCACAGGAAGATGATGCTCCTTTCTCCACACTGCCGCGCCTTGAATTACCGTAAAGCTTCCCGTTAACCTCTGAATTTCACTTGCATCTCTTCTGGATATGGCCAAAACGGCAGCGTACAGGCTAGTTAAAACCAGCGAGACTTACCAATAAATCCCAGCTGCGAAAACTCCAACACCAGCCAGTCCTGAGAGGTCTGCTGACTTACGAAGTTCTTCATCGTCGTAGAATAGCCAAGTTTCGCAACAATGTCGTCTTCCAACTGCAAGTAGCAGATGCGGAAATACTTGATCAAGGTGAGGACCCTAAACTGGAGCTTGAGGAGGCAGTTTTAAAATGATGGATATCTCCCCCCTCCAAGAAAAATGAACATTATTCTGAAGATTGGTGCCTTTAAATATTTCCAAGTCTTCTCCATGCAGGTCAAAATCTCACAACCATCCTTGTTGGGACGCAGAAATATTCTTCTCCCCTTCAGTAATGAGTCTGGGCCACAGACCACCGCACTTGGCTGGTATCTCATTAATATGATACTGGCTGTACTGGCAATGGTTATGTTCTTTGTCTTACAATTTGAATTGACATGTTATGGACCAGATCTGTGTGGCAACAATAGAGGAGTATGCTGGCAGTTTGCAGAGCCTTTTGCTTTGCATATAACCCTACACCTGAGGGTCAGAGAGAGCCTGTCATAATTTAACTCTCCTGGATGGTTCTCCGGGGTGCAGGAAACAAAAGCCTAAGTGCTCCAGAGATCAGGAAGCCAGACCTCTCTGGAGGACACTTCTGGCAGTGGGAGCGGAGCCCACTGACGCAGGCAGCAGGGACGACACAATTAGAGGCGGATAAGGTTGCATCGCAGAGCTCCATCACACTAAACTGCCGTCACTGGGCTCTTGTCACCAGGCCTCGGTGGAGTGGAAAATGGATGGAGGCGTTGGTGGGAAGACAGGGGCCATTGTTTTGGAACCCTGCTTTTAAACCCCCTACGAAAAGGAGTAACGAATTCTGTAGCCTGAGTTGGGTTTAGTGTTCACTCTGAGTAGCCTTGGACCACAGGTGTCCAGGTTTAAACTCACATCCACCCCCCCACTCGCTTTACTGATGCCATTCCTCATCTCATTCGCTTAGCATTATTGTCATTTAAGCCAAGTAAACCTAGCCCCCCCCCCTCACACACACACACACACACTCCCCAAACAGAGACAGCAGGCCATAATGTTACCTGCACATAATAAGATCCTTTAGACTGAGCGTATAGCATCAGGAAGCTGAAATCCAGGTTCTGTTTCGTTCGCCACCTGAATTAAAAGAACATTCTATGTGAATTTCTAATAAAAACTGAAGCTGAACGTGTAACTTTTTAATACTAGCTGGTCTTGTTTGGTATCGTAGCGCTGGGGGTTCCCCTCGGACAGCACAGCTGTTCCCGTGTCATCGTTATGTCATGTGTAGTGTTAATGTTAATTGCTTATAATAGCGGTGTGTGTGGGAGCCCACGGTGTGGCGTGTGTGCAGGCGGGGGTCGCCGGTCCAGTGGGTAGTGTGTGCGAATGGTAAGTGTGACTGGCGTACGCCAGTAAAAGTCACTTTTGTGCCTTCCTGCAATTTGAGTCAGGCTGTTTCCTTATCCTTCACAGTGTCTAAGGTTTGTTCAGGCTGCACACTGATTTCAAGATTGCATAAATACATTAGTAAAATACTATCTTATGGTTACAAGTGGTAACATTAACTGAGCAATGCACACAGGGCAGGAGGGTGTCAGGGGGCTCCTTCCTCACTTTACTCTCTCTCTGGTGTCGCCGAAGGTTTCTTTGAGATCGTTGAAGTTGGGGTAGAAAGACGGAGGAGGAGACACGACTTCCAGAAGACCAGACTTGACCTAAGCCGGGAAGCTGCATTGTGAGAAAGCGAGTTATGATACGTCTCACAGAGATGTGTCACCACCAGTAACGAGTGTGTATACTTCATAGCCATTCTGTTTCCATCACACATTTCTTTCTTTCCATCTTCCTTTTTCCTCGTTTCACACACCATCCAGTATACGTATGCAATAATAGATTGTCACACATTCTTGTCAAGCACCTTCAGACAAAAGGCGCTACATAAAAAATTTGATCTGAATTTTGTTATCCTCAAAAGTAAAATTAAGACAATAAGACACCACAACCCAGGGTGATTTATATATATATATATATATACATATAAAACCTACTTCTGCATCTCTCAATGGCCTTATTATTTTAACTTTGTGGGCAAAAACCTGATATATGTAAATATAGCTGTTAAAAAAGACAATTCTCCATATACATGTCATGCCGTATTTTTTGTCCGGGGGTCACTTACGTCACCTTTATGCTTTCAGTCACATTGGTAATATATGCAGTGTCAACCTGAAAGGCAAGTGAACCATTTTAAAGTAAAAACATATGAGGTACTTCTATACCAAGAATACAGGCCAAGTGAAGTAGAGAAACTCACTTAAGCTGCATATTATTCATTATTTTCCAAGAGTCTGACTTGATTACTTTTCGTGATACTACAAAAATAGGTTTGTGAGAAATGTTCCATCTCTTTGACAGAGATAATGAAAGACAAAGAAAGGCCTTCCTACTGACATTGATATTCCTATAGATCCTGTTTCTTTGTTTAGCCTCAATGCAAACACATAAAACTCTCTCCCTGCTGATTAAAGTCGCAGCTGATGGGTCACACACCTCCGCCACAAAGACGATGACGACAATGTCGGCATGTTCCTCTGGGGTTAAGTCGTAGAAGAGCGAGCTTAGTGTGCTCTCCAGGTACATCTGCTTCTCCCGTTTCACCGTGGGAATGCCCAACACCAAGGACACTGTGACGCGCGCACACACACACACACACACACACACACAGTTGTGTAATCATATCTTTTTGGGGACCGCTCATTCATTTCTTTGGGAAAAATGCTAATGCTAACTATGACAACCTTAACCCAGCCCTAACCTTAACCATAAGGAAGCAAACAAAATACAAGACTTTTGGCATTTTTAGCATATTATACCCATTCACATGCAATTTACAATTGTTGCTTTTACAATGGTATTTCAGATCTGCACTAAAAATAATCAGCATAGTGTAATAAGCTAAAATGACTGAATACAAATAACCATTATTATAAATGAATTACATTATAAACAAACATGGATCACTTTCATATGCTTACTTGGCCTGTAGCACCTGTAAGTGCGAAGGATGACTACAAATCTAGGAGATACCAGTCTATGTCCTATGTATTAGTTCATACTTATAGATCATACACTTTGTATGTAGGTGTTACAACCCGCTCGTTTGAGGTCGCAACATAAAAGAGGGATCGAAACAGAATACATATAACCAATAAAGATTATTTATTATTTGTACGGGTTCAACAGTAGAAAAAGTCACATAATAAAGTCTAGGGATAGAGAAACAAATAATCACCACCAACCCTTATTCTACATAGCACAAAAAGAAAAATAAAATGCACAAGCGAAAGAACAACTAAAGGGGTCCACAAATGACTACATAACACACAAAGACCCACCCCCAGTCTCCCTCCCTACAGAGTCTTATATAGAATACCAATTAGCAATTAATTATAAGATAGGCCAATCAAGATCAGCCACACTCTTCCCAGTAGGGCCTGGAGAAAACGTCAGGGTCGTCACAGTAGGGAAATTCTCCATCGTAAATGTAAGACTTGCTTAATACATCAGATGATGCCACACATACAGTCGCTCTTTAGAACGCCTGTGGCCTTGGCCTGGAGCCGATGTCGTCAGACGGTGCCCAACCTTCTCAGGGTGTTTCGACCCTTATCCGCTACACCCTCCAGTTGGCGGGTCGGCAGTGGTGGCCAGGTCACTGCCCATCAGCTCCAGGCCTCCAGCCCCCCTCCTCCCTTTTAAACCACAACCAACAAGAGGCTCTTTCTGCTGCCTCTCCAATCCTGCGCACAGCTGCCTTACGGTCCTTGCCTGATACGCCGAGTGTAGTGAGCACCGACCATACAGACTGTACCGGAAACCCCCTACACCCAACCTCCACTGGAAACAGCCACGTCTGCCACCCTTCCTCTCTGCACTCCATGATGAGGTCCTGGTATTTCAGATACTTCCTCTCATGGGCCTCATCACAGCCTTGTTCCCATGGGGCAGTCAGTTCTACCAGGATGATCTTCTTCACCTGCTCTGACCAGATGACAACGTCAGGTCTCAAGGTGGTCTGGACGATGGGAGTGAAAATGAGCTTCCTACCCAGGTCGACTATCATCTCCCATCCTTGTGCCCCCTGGAGGATGTTGGTCCTGGTTCTCCTTGCAGAAGATGGCTGCTCCCCTGCCTTGATGAACTGCAGCACTGATGTTTGTGGCTTGAGTGGTTGCGGTCTTCTCCTGGCCTGCTCCAGGATGTCTGCAATTACGCTGAGCACCTGATCATGCCGCCACCTGTATCTCCCCTGGGCCAGAGCTGTTTGACACCCTGCTAGAATGTGGGAACGTGTACCTTTCTTCCCACACAATTTGCAGAGTGGATTCTCCAGAGTTCAGTCCATGTGACCCTTCTTGCTACCATTAAGCCTCATATACCCATCTGTTCTGTCCATGCTTAAAGTTCCTACATTTGACTATCAAACAAAAAGCGTAAATCACTCAATTTCAGTTGAATTTCCTTCTTCCTTACACCCAGAACACATTTTTATGTGTCTTGCCTGAAAAGCATTTTAACTCTATGGTTACTGTAAGTGCCATTCGTCTCTGCCAAAGCGCCTTTGGTAATATGCCAGTTCCAATGTAATTACTGCATTTCATACGTCAGTAAAATCTAGTTCAGCTACAGCCTGTACCCAGATTTTAAGTGCCATCAAGGACGCAGGAACCAACACACAGTATCACCCATACAGCAAACACAGGGCAGCCGCCACAACAACCAACTAAGGAACAGAACAAAGGCAGACACTTACATACACTGATAACAAGACTAGATGAGGAACAGGGGAGAACCATAACCAATTAACCAATCACAAAGGACTCGATGCAAGAAGGAACAGGTGGGATACTTTTACAATAAACAGGTACAGGAACAGGATCTTATTTTAACCCTATCGTACTCTGTCATGTTTGCACAGGACAGTTGTCCTTCATTCGTGTTTACACTGTGTCCTGTTAGTTGTCTCTGGGTTCACTGTTTGTACTGAACCAAAACCAGTTCTGGGGGCAGATGGGACAGGGCCAGACAGGCACCCATCCTGACAGCAAATAGCTAGTTTGTATTTGCAACGCAATAAAAAACAGCGACAGCCTAGAGGAAAAAAACATACATGCTCTGACCTCCTTTTCTCCCTTTTCCGAGAAGCACATTGGGTACCAGGTTGTCCTCACGGCCCTTCAGGTGGCGCAGGTAGAGGTAAGCATTGGGCAAGTGTGAAAGGATGGTCATCTGTGGACGGCTCTGCACATAACCTTCTACACGGCAGCCAAGATGCAAAAAAGGATGTCGAATGAGACCATTCAATCCCAAGGAACTGCTCTTATGAATGACCAGTGGACTAGAAAGCTTTAACTATGCATGTATGTATAACTTATATACAACTATATATGAATGTCGGTGTGTATATATATATATGTATATAATCAATACTTTATAGATCCCTGTGGGGAAATTGCCTTCCTCAGCTTGCTGTTCGTGGAGGAAGTTGTCTGCAAAGGGCAGCCACCCACAGCAGCACCCAGGGAGCTGGGGGTTAAGGGCCTTGGCCAAGGACCCACAGACATGCTGAAGCTGGGTTTTAATCGGCAACCTTATGATTACAGGTACAGCCCACTGAGCCACATGCTGCCCCTTATATATATAGATATATATAAATTCATTGACATTTTTCTGTTTTTATAATTAACCAATGATATAATGGCAGGATATAATCCAGGACACAGTGGAATAATGAGTATTGTGAAAAGCATTTGAAAAGAACAGGAAGCAAAGTTATAAGTGACATTTTTGAAGGCCTTAAAGAGAAGTAAGGTGCCATGAGAGCAGAGTGAAAGCCGAGAAGAAGCGGAGGTACACCCTCCCACTGCGGCCTGCCGTGCATCACGCACCCTCCCACTGCGGCCTGCCGTGCATCACGCACCCTCCCACTGCGGCCTGCCGTGCATCACGCACCCTCCCACTGCGGCCTGCCGTGCATCACGCACCCTGCCACTGCGGCCTGCTGTGCATCACGCACCCAAGAGCTTCCGTCTCTAGCAGTGATGGCGTGACACTCACCTGTCAGCATGCTGGAGTTCTCAACCCTGTTGAGATGTCTGAGGTTGTCCAAAATCCCACTGAGTTCCTTGGATATCTGAACTGCCTGTTCTTCAGCAGCCAGCAGTCCTTGGTACAGAGATGTTAACTCAGCCTGGGTATCTGAAAAAAGGAAGAACTGGATCAAAGTTCAGCTACAGTTTACTAACACTTCAGGACAAAAGGTAGCCAGATTTAGATACAATGTCTTTGGAGAGATATGAGGTCAGAATTTCTGACGTTTTCACTAATCACACAAGCATACAAACATTTGACAGTCCTAATGCATGTTTATCTTTGGCAACCACTCTTACAATAACTTTGCAATAAGATTTCATTGTTGGCCAAATACAGGTATTCCAAACAGATCTCCCATAAGTACCAACTACATTCAAGAGCAGCCAACAGTACTTTGACTGGACAAAGGAAATTACGAGATTACATACTTAAACATTCATGTACAAAGGAATGCTGAACATGCTGCAGCACTCCTAAACCCTGAAGTGGAAAAACCAGCCAATAAAATACAAACTTTCAAAAGCATAACACCGCCATATTCAGAGATTGAAAATAACTCCGCTATTCCTTAAAGAAAATTAGAGTATGTTTGTATCAGGGAAACAGGACAAAAGGAAGCTAGACTATATTTTTAAAATTAACCCAGGATTAATCCACAGTCGTTTAAAATTACAGGCTTCAGACGCATAATCTAAATGAATGAAATCTTTTGTCTGACATGCAGACAAATGTTATCTTTCAACTATATCATGCCCGCAAAAACAGATGCTTTCGGCCTTAATCGATTTTATATTTTATACTGACATATTATATCCTACTTTGCATACGCTTATACGGCATTGAATTTTTCAGACAGCATTTTAATGTTTCCGATCTGTAAAAACGTTCATGCTTGACCATCAGAATCTGCCCGCTGTCCTAAAATACTGAGACTCTTGTATGAACAACAATATATACGCCGATTCAGTGATAGTCTGAAGTGTCAAACTTTAAAATACGTTTGTGATTAATACGGACTTTTAAATGCTTCTCTTCCGTAAGGGAAATTTAGAAAATCTCACTTTTCGGTAAAATATTGTTAACGTACTATAAAGCATTTTACTTTATGTTTGAGGTATTTATTATGGGGGATTAACTATACAAATGCGTTACATTCAACAAGTCAGAACAAAAACGTAGTTTGTAGGTAAAACGTATTTACGAAAAAAAAAACAATCTTAATTCCTAATTATGCCGACTATTAACACTGATTAATACATTTAGGTCAGTTTTCATTACAGCAAAAACTGTTAGGTATACTACATTTAACATCGATTGTATATTAGCAATTTTCCCATAATAACACGTGAGATTACACGTGAGACAAATACCGCTAATTATAGGCGCGTCTAGTGAAAGGCGTTAAATTGCGAAATTAAATGATTTTTTATGCATAGCACCAAACCAGGATAGGTTAGTTCATTATGTTCACAAAACCGCTTATGTCGGTAGATGCTCACCTTGACGGCTGTGAATGGTATACCAGAAGACTGATAAACCTCCGAGACTCAAAAAAAAAAGAAGTCTCCCATTATTGATCCTCATTTCATTCCAAATGCCCCCAGCAACACTTCCCGCCCCGGCCCAGTAAAGAATCGCCTGAAAAGTAACAGTTGTGAATATTCTTAAAATTAAGCCCTGTTTGCTGTCGAGCAGCGCTTGCGTTTTTCCTGGAAAGACTGGATGAATTGCAGAAACTTGATCCGCCACATGGCGCATTTCCAACTGAGAAAGGCACCGACACACTGTCGCGACATACAGGCACTGCCACACTGTCATGACATACAGTACAGACACCGCTACACTGTTGCGACATACAGACTCTGCCACACTGTCGCGACAGACAGACACTGTTACGCTGTCCTGATGTGACTTGGTACGGTATGTCTAACTGTACCGAAACACAAAGTTAGAAATGTTGTTTAAGTTCAATGAACCCAGAGGAAATCTAAGCTGTATAACCCCTGTGCATTAAAGGCACACGATTACACTAATCAAGCATAAATCATATGCATTGCCAGCCTTGCATTCGGATAGATAGACCCTTTCTTTATTTGTAGGCACCCAATTTTAAACTGCGTAATCTAAAACAGTTTTGGAGAAAATGAATTGAAATGAAGGGATACGTATTAACGAGAGCAGAATGTGACCACAGCGTTCTTATTGGTCTTAGCCTATAATTCTTCAGTTTTATCAGCCCTACATGAAGCCATTCACTTAAATTATTTCCCTCTGGATATCACCTTCATTCTCCGTGTAAGCACTGAAGCCTTTCAGTAGAACCATGGAGTCTGTAGGTGGCGCCCTTTCGCGCAGTCATCCACAGAAGGTTGGATACTTCAGAGTACTCCCTGATGGTACAGGGAAAACATGCAAACTACGTACACAGAGAGCCATGGCACAGACTCAAACGCTGCTCCCAGAGGTGTGAGGCAACAGTGCTAACCACTGCACCCCTCCTATATACGAATACTCATACCTATAGACATAATCAACATAGCATTAAATGAATGACATTTAAAATATGCAGAATATGCAGTGCATGTGGGAATTCTCTGAGAAATATCTTCAATAGTTCACGCTCTGTACCTCACAGTCACATAGAGGCAGTCTTCTTGCCCACCCAGAAAAACAGCAGCTGCCTGAGGTCCTTCAGACTTTGGTCCTAAACCACAGGCCTGCTTCCAGAGCCCACACCGCAGATGCAGGTCAGGCTGGATCCCAGCTGATACTTTCCTGTCTCCGGCACTACCTCAGGCTCACTGGCTGCCCCAGTGGCACTGCAGTTGATACCCTGGATTAATCTTGTGGATAGGGAGCCCACAAAATGGCTCCACTTAACCGTTTCCACCAGAGCCTGGCTGGGTTCTGTTGTTGGGCTCTCCACCAGGTGAGGGGTGCTGAACTTGAATTTTTATTATCACTCAAGTGAAACAATTTCAAGTTAAAGCAATAAATTCAAATTTAGATTCTTTAATTCAAGTTCAGCTAAACAGATTCAAATTCAGATTCTTTAATTCAAGTTCAGGCAAACACATTCAATTTCAGATTCTTTAATTCAAGTTCAGCTAAACACATTCAAATTCAGATTCTTTAATTCAAGTCCGGCTAAACACATTCAAATTCAGGTTCTGGTATTCAGGTAATGTAATTCAAGTTCAGGTTAACTCGTTCAGATTTGTGTAAATAAATTCAAATTCGGGTTGTGATTTGACACCGTAAACCCCCGGCTAATTCAGATTTAAGTCAGATTCACACCACAAGAAAAAATATTAGCATCAATACAAATTTAACTGTTTCCATCTTTTTGTATACTATTTCACAATTTTACTCACCTAACATTTAGTAATTACAGTTTAATAATTGTACACTTCAGATGGATACATCATTCTAGTCTAGAACAGCATCAAGCCCTAAGCTAATGTGTTTGATTTAATTGAATTATGTACATTCAACCAGCCAATAGCTAATTAAGGCAAATAAATAGAAATGAGAAAATGAAAATAAGGTCTGTCCACATCTGATTGCAAGATTTCTGTTCAATAAAGTGCTTTGGCACTACGATGGAATGAAATCATACTTATAACAATTCTGTCTGGATGCACATATTTCCCTTGATTGCATGATTTTTTGGATAAAAGTGCCTGCTAGATAAAGTCAATAATGTACATGCAAAAACTTGTTCTCATCAGGGAAAGGTGTCACCACAATCGCAAGGTTGTTTTGCAATCTTAGTTGCTGTAGCTCAACAAGTAAACTAAAAGCATTGTGCCATTTAATGTGATGGTCATGGGGTCAAATCCCCTGGACCAAATAGAAAATCGTAACCCTTTACTGTAAGTCACTTGGGAAAATGGGAAAAAGTGTTGGATAAATGAGTAAATAACTAAGTGGAGACAGGTTATTTATTGTTATTATTATTTTGCAAGTAATAGCAAAGAAAATAAGGCAGGGAAAACATGCAAACTGCACGTATACACAGCTCTGGAGATGTGATGCCGTACTGCCACACACTGAAGCATCATGCTACTCATACACATTAAAATATTATTTAAAATTTGATTCGGCTGTTCGATGCTGCGCAAAACAAATAAACAATAATCGCCACAAGGTGGCACTATTTCCCAAACAGTATATTGATAAAACATTAAAGGTCCGATTGGTTTCGAGCAGTCCCTTGTGAAAAAATAGTGTACTAAAGTATTTACTTAAAAATACACTTAGTACAAAAAATATGCTTTCAGCAAAGTCTATTAAGTGTGTTTTGTACTAAAGTGTATTTTATTACAGACATACTTTTATTCAAGTGTGCTTCAGTGTGCTCAATTATGTTTAAATGCAAAATATATTTTCTAAAAGTACACAGAAGTATAATGTCAGTATATTAAAAAGATGTGTGTAAAGAGAATGCATTTTTATTACACTTCTAGTGATCAAAGCACAGTGTTAATACACTTTTGTATACTATTTTTTCACAAGGGGTGTCTTACTGTATATCGATGTTTATTTTTGATACATGCAAATTGTAACCCTTATCCAGTACAAGGTGACAGTGAGCCCGTCTGTCCCAGGAAGTACAGGACACAAGGCAGGGGACACCGAGGACAAGGAGGCAAGATATCGTCCTCCAGTGAATTAACCTAGAACAGTCTATCCTTAACCACTGAGTACCATGAAACAACTGAGGCCAAGGAATGTTCAAAAGAAGCCCTTTGTAGGAAGCCAGCAGATTACCTCTGTTACAGCTTTCCAGAAAGCATGTGGAGCACTGAAGGTCAGATTGAAGAGTTTATGTTCTTATGAGACTAAATATTTTGGTCTCAGTTCTAAGAGCTATATTTGATAGGGGCCAGTAGTGCATGCCATATCTACCAACAAAAACCATTTCTCCTTCTATCTTTCTGACGGACAGGATTCCCACTCTTCTGTCATCGTCTTAATGATATTTCTGGCAGGATACATTAGAGGAATGTCATACGAGGAAAGGTTAGTTGAGCTAAATCTGTTCAGCCTCAAGCAAAGGAGACTGAGGGGGGACATGATCCAGGTCTATAAGATTCTAACAGGTTTGGATGCTGTTCAACCGAATAGTTACTTCAGCATTAGTTCAAATACAAGAACTCGTGGCCATAGGTGGAAATTAGCGGGAGAACATTTCAAACTGGATTTAAGGAAGCACTTCTTTACACAGCGTGTAGTCAGAGTATGGAATAGTCTTCCTGATAACGTAGTGCAAGCTGAATCCTTGGGTTCCTTTAAATCAGAGCTAGATAAGATTTTAACAACTCTGAGTTATTAGTTAAGTTCTCCCCAAGCGAGCTCGATGGGCCGAATGGCCTCCTCTCGTTTGTATAGTTCTTACAGTATGTTCTTATGTTCACACCATCTGCGGACAAATTTGTCTCAGACTAACCAATCAAACAACAACCATTTCTTAATATGAAATTTCAGTATATCTCTGTCAGCACTTTCGTTTGGTTTTAACCTCCAAGAATCTGGTCTTAACTTGTTTGACAACTTTAAAAAAAAAAAAAAAAGCTCGATGGGCCGAATGGCCTCCTCTCGTTTGTATAGTTCTTATGTTCTTATGTTCACACCATCTGCGGACAAATTTGTCTCAGACTAACCAATCAAACAACAACCATTTCTTAATATGAAATTTCAGCACATCTCTGTCAGCACTTTCGTTTGGTTTTAACCTCCAAGAATCTGGTCTTAACTTGTTTGACAACTTTAAAATGAATTTTTTTCAGGGAGGGACTTTTCTTCAGAAGTCCCTCCCTTTTACTGGGAAAACCCTTATGTCTCAGGTCTTTGTGTCACTTGTGACATCATGCCACAGTGGCCCTCCCACGACCTATAAACAAAACAAATAGGCTATTTTTAGCTACACAGAACCTTATGACGATTAAGATTGACTTTATCGATCCCTGGGGAAAATTCTTCTTTATACAGCAACAAGAATGCAGTGCACAGACAAACGTATGTGTATGGTAAAACACACAAAGTCAGTACACATAGTGCAAATAAGTAGACATGGCACAAACAACCTTTAAAAAGTGTAGAGTACACAAATATAATGTCCTGAAAACAGAATACTGACGCATTATAGGAATAACTTACAGGTAAGAAGAATAATAAATTAATGATACAGATACAGATACAGATACGGATACGAATACAGATACAGATACATATAGCAGCGGATTTGTATTATGACAAAGACAGGATACTTCCTGATGTGTTATGGCTGGGCAGGGGAGGTCGCACGCTGGGCAGGGGAGGTCGCACGCTGGGCAGGGGAGGTCCCACGCTGGGCAGGGGAGGTCGCACGCTGGGCAGGGGAGGTTCACACGCTGGGCAGGGGGAGGTCACACGCTGGGCAGGGACGTTATGGCATCACCTGCACTGCTGCTATAGATATCTTTATAATGCAGTACAAAGCATCCTTAATGCTTATACCGACCATTATGAAAGAGTTATTAAAGAGTGTCTGTTTGTGTAAACAATAAAATATGCATGTGTCACTCGGGTGACCTACATGACTGTGAATGTGAAATATCCAGCATCTCAGATTTGCTCGGTTTTTAACTTTAACAGGTTGTGCGTGTTGCTCTCTCCTGGCACACCTTACACTGAACAATCAAGCAAAGGAGAGCACCAAATACTTGGTGCAGGTGTGGAGGGAACTGGAGGAGGAACGGAGCGTGCACTGATACAGCACTATGCTGTACCTACCACATGATGAACCACCTCAGGAATGAGAACCCGAGAACAGTGGGTAATACCTGAGCACCACGCTCATTCGAATGGAATGGAACACCAGAAGTTCCATGCCACCAATCAATAAACTTTTCCCTGAAAGTTGGAGAACCTGCTTGCAGGGCTGGATGTAGGCTATTCATGGGATTCCAGTCGGCAGCCTTCGGATCGCTGGATCCCTTGGGTCAGAGACACCACTCCGAGCTGGGAAGGTGCGAGAATGTGGACCGTCTGGTGGTCCCTGAGGACCAGACCAGGAAACACTGACCTAAACTATTCACATCACCATGGAGGTTGTCAGCCGCTTCTGAGAAAAATGCTTTTCCTGCGATTAGTTATGCCTTAGATGTTGTGTATATGCTCCCACATAATGCACTGAGGTACTGTGCCATATCTACACTCTTGTTAGTGCCATGATCTTGCTGATGCACCTAAGCCTTGCCTTCATGCAGGTCTTTCTTAACAGAACATTGATGATTGCCGGTATAAGTGGGGGGGTCGACTTTAGCAGTTGATAAAAATAAAAGTGGGCTCAGATTCTTTTCAGTTCTATGCATTTTTTTAAATACATAATGAGTCACTTACTTGGCTGTATTGACTTGAAACCGCTAGTCAAGACACTGTTCTAACAATTTATTTATCTGAATGGACAAAGGCACAAGTAGACAGTTATAATAATAAAAGGGAAACTATTTTTCATGTGAAACCAACCAGGCACCTCAAATTTAAAAAGGTGTCTGTGCAAGCTGGTACAAGTTTTAATTTAATTATTATTTGCTGTGGTGGATATTTAACTAATCCTGTTGTTATGTTACACGATTATTTTTCATTCGGTGTGTGACTTTCGGATACCTGGTTAGAGTGTATTGCATTCAGCACCCTCTACTCTGACTCATCCTCTAATCCTCTCTCTCGTAAAATTTAAAAAAAAGACCACAGGCTATACCTCAGCGTTTTAACATAATATGTAGGCTTCTGTAGGTAACTAGGGAGGGACACTTTATTGGCCCCTTGGGGGGAATTACTTGCAAATTACTTACATGCCACAAATCCGTAAAAATATGAACAGTGTTTGTAAATCATAATGGAAACAATGTGAATGACAATGTCAGTTTTATTCATACCACTTTACGGCACGACATTATGCTGTTACATAAATCATTCATGTCCAGTGTTAACCTCAGATGGCTTCTTTGCAAAGGGGTCTTCTTGTGGTGGTGGACACAGTTCTGATAAAGAAAATGTCAAACTTTAATGCCCCCCCCCTCCCGGGTCATATACAAAGAAAAGTTCCTGCGTGTCTGACCAGAGTTATAAACACACCAGTGGTGGCAGTAAAATTAAGAGAAACATCTTTGTTATTAATCTTACCATTGTTTCCGTCGTACTTATAAGACGCGTCAGGCAATCCGAGGCACTCCGCCTGTGTCCTGTACGTCTTGAGTTCAGTGGCATTCAGGATTCTTTCTCTCCCTGCAAATGCACAGTGGCCAGATGAGCAATACCAGCCTGTCGCCCTCCCCCTGCTGCCCTCTGTGGTGACCAGGGGTGGAACTTAAGAATTTTTGCTACTAGCCACAGGGCTGTCAAGTTTTGAAGACAGGCAAGAGTGACATTCCACAGGATGCCTTTTCATTGGTTGTTGTGTTGTATTTTACCCAGATACAATAGTACTATTTTCTGATTGGCTATTGTGTAGGCCCTTTCTTTTTTTTTTTTGATTGGCTGGTAAGTGACAGGCTCTTGGGGCAAATCTTGTCCGACTTCATAAAAGAGACGTGTTTCCGACGGGAAGCGACATTTTTCTTGACGTTTCGTGACGTTTTCATCCGAGTTCCGACTTGGAGAGAAATAATCGAACGCACCATAATGTCACTCAACTCAGAATTTCCGAGTTCCGAGAGAAAAACGAACGCACCATTACACTCCAGCGGAGGCATGCTTGTTTTATAGTGAGCCGCTACTGTGCCGCGGTCTGGGGAAAAATTGGGCTCTGCGGCATATTAGCCTACGAATTATTTTTCCGCGTGAGAAATACAATGTGTGGCGGGAGTGCGTGACAAAAGACTGAAAAGAGTGACTGTCACTCTCAATGCGTGACACTTGAGTGCCCTGTAGCCAACTGGGCTGGTTCTAGCCTAAAGTGAGCTGGCCCACTTAATTTCCAGCCCTGGTGGTGGACGTACCAAAAATGTACAGAGATCTGAGGGTCTCTCCGCTGTCGAAGGAGGAGAAACTCAAGAGGAGGCAGTCAGAACAGGTGCTAAGCATGACCCCAGTGTAAGTAACACCCAGCTCTGGAAAACACATGAAAATACACGTGTATGTTATACACATACAAGGCAATACTCAGAAAGCAATTTACAGCCCACACTGCTTCACTTCTTCCCCGCTCACACAAAATTTAGCGCAATTCATCAGTTGACTAGAAACACATCTTTGGAATACAATGGAAAACCCATGATCTCATACATGCTACATGAGACCTCACTTATCCACTGCTGGGCGGGGAAGGAGCAACAGTCCCGCCCAGTGAACCACGTTGATAAGAGCACTAGAGCATGACGCAAACGAAGTTACTTACGGACAATGCTGAAGGTGTTGTTTACGAGTGTCAGATTTCCCTCTGAATACTGGCAGATACTGCTTCTGGATTGAAAAAACAAACAGAAGACATTTGTGATGATTATCATTTGTTGCCTACTGTTCAGTCTAAGACACATCTTTAACATCTGTAGTGTGTGGCTCAGTGCACTAAGCCTGTGTGCCTGTAATCACAAGGTTGTTGGTTCAAACCCACCCTCAGCATGTGTGTGGGTCCTTGAGCAAGGCCCTTAAACCCCAGCTCCCTGGGTGCTGCTATGGGCAGCTCCCCTTTGTGGACAGTTCTCTCTACAAAGGGCAAGTTGAGGGAGGTGTAAAAAGAATTTCCCCATGGGGACAATAAAGGATCAATTATTAAACCCAACCTTCACATCTAGACTAAAAGCTTTATTTTCCAAATGAATAATGAAGATAGTTCCCTTTCATTTTCTACACACCCAATCTTCCTTGCTCTTTTGCTTCTTCCCCATATTACTATAATTCTCATTACTGTGTCGTTCGCCACTGTGTGACCGTTGGGATGGTTTTTTGTGTGTATGTATTGCTCCCTCACCGTTAGGGTGACCACCTAATCCACATCAAGAAGGATGGGGTTTGTAAACTACCATTTCAATTTAAAGGACCTGGATTTCACTTAAGCACTGAGTTCTTGCTGCGTGCTGATTGGTCAGTCTCCTATAATCACGCATGCGTCACTAATGTTAATGCAAAACAGCTGGTAAATGGATCACATTTATATAGCACTTTTCCACTCCTATGAGTACTCAAAGCATTTTACAATACATGTTCCACATTCACCCATTCGCACTGACATTGGCGAAGGCCACCATGCAAGGTGCCAACCTGCACACCGGGAGCAATTTGGGGTTCAGTGTCTTGCTCAAGGACACTTTGATGGGGTCAGGAGGAACCAGGGCTTGAACTTGCAACCCTCTGGTTGCCAAACGATAGTACTACCTCCTGCGCCACCATCTTCACCCTGCTGAGTCAGTCTTTCAATCAAGGAAACAGTAAAAGCAGAAGAAGAACTGAACTAATTAGCCAAGCAAAGGAGCCCTTTGGTTTTGAAGTAGTTTGTAAAACCTTAAGTAGGTAGCAGTGTCCCTCTGACAGGGATTAGGGGGTTACCCTACTCACCATGCTCTGTGTTTTTTAATACAGTGAGCGTCTTTGGGTGCCTGAAAAGCACTTCATAAATGTAATGTATTATACTGGTCAAGAATTTTTTTTGCCTTCATTTATGTCAGACGAATCAAAATAGGTCAACTGGTGATTTTGAGTAACATGCAATTGAACTTCATGCTATTTTTGCAGCGTGCAAGATGGAGGTGATTCATCTGAAAGGCAGCTGTGTGTGATCTTCTGCTGTGCTTGGACTTTGGAGCATTCCTCTGAAGGGTCCAGCAGAAGTCAGCAAGCACACTGGAGCTCAGCCAGTGGTGGAACTGTACACTGGGCCCCGGGGCAAAAATGGACCATGCCCCCTCCCCTTTCCAAATTCACACCTAGGGCCTGCCTACAGCAGTTGCAGATGATGGAACTTAAGCAGCCTCCAAATATCATACCCATCATGCACTGCGGTCATTAGAAATTCCACAAATGTGCTTTTTTTAGTTAAATACTTGCCTCAACAACATAAGTTTACTACAGAACATTACAAACTATTGCATTTCAAAATTGTATTGCACCAAATATTTTTTCGTGTTGACTCCCACCAGAGTGAGATAATATACTTAAGAATGAGTGATATAAGTAGCATGTTACACATACATACAATATGTGTGACATCAGGGCCTTAATCCTGACAAATGTTTCACATCTATTGTTTCACGAGATTGATTCACTTGATGTTGCTATGGTGATCAGGTCTCAGTGGCTGTCACGCCATTCTAGACTATCCTGAGCCTGTGAACTCTAGGCAAAAGAGGCTTTATGGTACTTTGTGTCCTTCTGTAAACTCTTACAAATATTTATAAACAGAAATAAATTTATTTTTCCTAAATTAAACTTCAATATATGCGTCCTAATGAGGAATTACATACTATCAATATAGCCTAAAAATTACGTCACTCAATATCTTTCTGTAATCAGCATTAATAAGTAAATAAAATACCCTCCTTAGCTGTTCTATGACACAATATTTATTGACTTTGTTATTATTGTTGCTGTTGTAACTGTTGTTGTTTTGGTGTCAGTCACTAAGAGTTATAAGGATCAGTGAAGGAGAAGAACCAGCAGCACATGAAGTGGATGGCAAACTCCCTGGTTTAGACAAGCCAAAGTACCAACACTGTAAAACAGTACATTGATTCTAAATGAGGAATTTCCTTGATTAATTATCTTTAAAAGAAAAAAACAGCATCACAACAGAAAATCAGTATAAGTAGACTAAACTAAACAACAAAGGTATTTTTTTTCTTTCCATAAGCAAGCAATGGGAAGATATTTCAAGAGGGATTTCTGAAGTTACAGTACTGTGCAAAAGTCTGGGTAGTAAGTGTATGTGTATTTTCTCAGAATGAAAAACACCATTTAATAATAGAACATATGCAAATTATGTATTAAAGTAAATAATAAAAAACCAGGAGTTTCTTATGCTCTGCAAAAAGTCCCTGACCTCTTGTTGGATGGCTAGATAAACACTAAACCTTCTCCTCTGGGGCACCTCTGCCGTTTCAGAGCTTTGTTACATTTCATCACCAGCTCATTTAATTCATTCGTGAAACTAGTTTTAAAAAGTCACTAAGACTGATTAGCCATATGAGGTGTGCTATAGGAAACACCATGGGTATATGGGATGGTTGCTGCAAATGCTGTGGTGGTTTTACGGGAGGTTTTGAAATGGCTAAGGGCTAACACACTTTGACAGACATGATACCATAGTTCAGGGCCATTTTCTCCGTCCTCAAGGGCTTCCAGCTTTCCTTTACCTGAGAGCCAGTTGTGAAGCCTCCGGCCAATCAGAGCCAGAAATTATTAAGCTAACAAGCTGGGAGACTTGAAAACAAGGCCTGGATTTGGAATCGAGGGCCTGATTTGAATAGGGGGGGCATAGTTTAACATCAGCATGAAGATACTTTAAACAAATTTCTGCGACCGCCTAAGACTTTTGCACAGTACTGTATATGCAGTGTTATGTTTATAGCGTTTATGTTAGTGAGTAAGGCAAAAGTAAGGCAATAGTCCATGGTGATGTGAATAGTTTAGGTCATTGTTACTGTTTCCTAACCCAGTCCTTGCTGAACACCAAACAGCCCACATTTTCGCTCCCTCCCAACTCCCAACACACCAGGTATTCTGTGCTCTTCATTGCTTGATTCTTTGGTTCAGGTGTGTTTGGAAGGAGCAAAGACGTGGACCGTCTGGGGTCCCCATGGACTGGGTGGAGAAACACTGGTTCACGTACATTTTATTCCTCTGTCTGAAGATGCTGGTATTATTCTCAGATGTTGGCAGAAACTCCACCCAGGAGCTGTTTACACGTTCCAGCACTGAACCATATTTCTCTGCATTAGTTGTTCCTTCAATAAAGATCCATTTCCCTGCTATCTGCATAAAAAAGCATTTTATATTACAGGGTCTCTTTTGAATGGGTGGTAATAATGTATTTTTATAAGTTATATTTAATAAATTAACTAATTATTATAGTTAATACACAACCAATATTACTATTACTATTTAGATATTGATATGAAATTATAATAAGTCAAAATAATTAAGCATGATTAACTCAAAATAAAAGGCACTTACCGGATTTAAGTCATGAAGTGTAAGTGTCCTGATTCTCTCCTCACAGCCCAAAGGAGTCGCAGAACTGGTGGTGAGCAATCCAACGATAGCAGAGAGACACAGGAAATACATGATGGGCCAGACTGGGAAGTGGAACTGGATGTTTCATTACCAGTGAGGTGCTCCACTCTTATATACATGAAATTTTGCCACTAGCATTTGGATTTTCCAATTTCCTGTAATATATATATCAAACTGAAAACCAGTACTCATCTTGGCATTTGAAGTCATGGGAATTACACATTTCAAAATCCCAAACAGATGAAGGTCAGAGTTTTAATAGAAATATCTGCAGTAGCTAATCTGTTATTGTGGTTACTCATTAGCCTATTGATCCTGACTGGAACGGTAGCCTGGATCATTTCTTGGATGCAGCTGCAAAATTTTCTAAATGTCCCAATACAGATAAAAAAAAACTACACAATCATCCATCCAACCATTGCAAAATTGTTTATGCAGTTCAGAATGGCTGCGCAAAGATTATACTTCCGTGGCCAAATTAAAAACTTTCCTGCTTATTTTCTGCATGCTACTGTCATGTCCCTTTGACAACCTGTTATTATTATTATTAGTAGTATTAGTATTAGTACTTTTATTATTATTACATGTATTACATGCACGTCACAGAAATCACCCCCAGTTTGGCTGGTCAGGAACCTTTGGTGCTCTATAAAGGCATAGGCCGCAGGCTAGTTTTTGTGGAACAACTCAAACATTACACTGGAAACACAGTGCCCACTGGGCATGACATACTTAAGAATTGCATTTTGGGTATCTATTAGATTTTGCATATTGTCGCTGGAGGCTAGAAAGGCTCCATTCATCTGTCTGCATGTCACACACCAGGACTTGAGTTTGCCCTCCGGGGCAACCTCAGATCGACAGTCATTATTAACAGAGTATTCTGTTTGTTTACTTTTCTATTTTTAGTTTTATTTGTGGTTTGGTTGCTACTGAACATGTTACACACAAACTGAAAAGTACTGTCCCCATAAACCCTGTGCTGGACACTCCCTGAGCCCTTTGGGAAACATCAGATGTTAAGGAACAGTAAGTATGGGTCACAAAGACATAAGAAAAGACATAATTTTTACATAAGAAAAGACATCATTTTTACTATCCCAGGTTCATATTATATGTAACTATTGTGGAATTCTTCTGCAGTTCTTTAGTAACATGTTTTTTGTTTTACATATGAGATATACCACATTCCAATCTACCTCATTCCATGCTAAATTAATCTGCATAGATCAATGTTTTCCTTTCATTATGCAATAAATTTTCTTAATTCTTGACATGTTTAATCGGTCATTGCCTTGTTTAATTATTTGTTCTTTTAAGGTACGATGCACTTCCTGTTTGTAGCAGCCAAAAATAATCGGCAACAGTGTAATACATTCCAATAACGTAAATTTTTTTCCATATTTATTTAAATAAAAGTTGATAATGTTATAGCTTACCAATAATGTAATTACATTTCTGAATCAAAAATGTAATAATTTATTATATTATACACAAAAAGTTATTACATAATTGGCAAGTGTCACAGCTATGTATTATGTATGTATTATTAAGTATGTGTTATGTATTGTAACGCTGGGCAGACCAAGGCATTACGGGAGCAGAGAAGGACAAGAAGACTTGCTTGCCGGGAGAAGGACTTGCCTTTAACAGGACTATAACAGGCACCCAAGGAGCACTGAACCAAATACACAGAGCGGAAACGCAAAACTGTCAGACGCCGAACTGTAAGGTGCAGACACGGTGGGGGATTTAGGCTAAGGCTAACAACGTATGAGGATCGTGCAGGATACGCACAAGCGTGACAATGGGGAAATGCAACCATTAACAACAACAACAACAACAAGGGCTATTTACACTTGCACACCGGGCATGCGGGGGCAATGCACCCCGCCGGAGCTACAGTATTAAAAAATTATTACATTATTGGCACTTATTGTGTTATTGGCAAATACATTATTGGTTGCAACAGGTTCAAATACTGGACATGTTCAGAGGTAAACTATTTGGACAGAAGTACCTTGGCACTTGGCCATTACCCCTACAGGAACTTTTTTGACATCCCATTAAATCCATAGGCATCAATATGGAATGGATCCTCTTTGCAGCTATAACAGCTCCCACTCTTCTGGGAAGGCTTTCCACAAGATTATGAAGCGTGTCTGTGGGAATTTTTGCCCATTCATCCAGAAGAGTATTTGTCAGGTCAGGCATTGACGTTGGACGTGAAGGCCTGGCTCATAATCATCCATTCTAGTCCAAGGTGTTCGGTGAGGTTGAGGTCAGGGCTCTGTGTGGGCCAGTCAAGTTCTTCCACACCACACTCACCCAACCATGTCTGTATGGACCTTGCTCTGTGCACTAGGGCACAGTCAGGAGCAGAGCCACCACCTTGATATAATTTCTTCTGACAGCTAAGATATATTACTTCTTTAATTGTGACTTGCGATTTTATATATCTGTCATTTTTGGTATACGTTCCTATTATGGTGGGTGTATGGTGTAATTTTTAATAAAAAAAATAAATCTGTAAAATCCCTACAACAAACTTAAAATATAATACATAGTAATGTTTTGAACATTACCTAACGTCCTCATCCGTCTGACAATATACATCAAGACTAGGAAGGTGCAGGCCTGGTTGCGTTTGTTGGTCCAGAAAGTAATTCAACATGTTTAAAAGTAAAAGTGGGGCACAAAAGAGGAAGGAAAAGAAAAGAGGAAGGAAAAGAAAAATAAAAAAACTTTGAGCAAGTTCTGTTGTAATAGGCTATTATATGCTGCAGGCCTTCTGTTTGTTTGCAGTTTCGCCATGTAGGCTATGTTCTTAAAAACTGCTTTTGGTTGGATATAACCCGATTATATGTCGTGGGTCTTTTAATTTGTTTGTCTGCAAATTCGCCAGGTAGGCTACCTTCTTTAAACTGCGTTTTGTTAGACTACATATTTCGGGATGTTTTATTGTAGTCTTTGTAAATATGTATATAGTTTAGCCTAACCCAGCCACTTAAGGGAGCAAGCCTGCTCAATTAGGTGCCGGTCCCAAGCCCGGATTAATGGGGAGGGTTGGCGTCAAGAAATAAAGAGACTGTCTTCACTGCATCACTGATGTCAAAATGTGGGAAATATGTGGTTGTATAAATAAACGCGTTAAAGTAGGTTAATGATTCTGTGCTATCTAAATTGTATAAAAAGTTAGGCTACATGACATTTGAATGGGCTATACCCGGAATCATGGACGCATTATGAGAATGAGAAAGATGGTGCGTGCACACTAATTAACCTATACCCTATTCACTTAGACAGTACACTGTAATTTTTGCAACAGAAGTGGATGAGATGGGCAGGCAGCTGGAGGTGGAATTTTTGTCCTTGGTAAAACGCTGACGGTCTCCACACTGGTAACAACGTTGTTTTCTAGGCATAGCCAAACAAATCTCCTCCTGTCTGAAAAGGCGTAGTCTTGCACCCAGACTTTAAAACTCGTTTCAGCGCCGCCTTGTATACGTGTGCATGAGTGTGCGTGTGTGTGTGCATGCGTGTGCGTGCGCTTAGGGGGGGAGGGGGGGCAATCAGTGTTTCGCCCCGGGACCTTGTGTGCAGTTGTTCCGCCACTGGGCTCAGTCATGCTGGAGCAGAAAAGGGCCTCTTCCCCGAACTGTTCCCACAAAGTTGGAAGCATAGATTTGTCCATAATGTCCTAATATGTTGAAGCATTAAAAGTTCCCTTCACTAGAACTAAGGGGCCCAACACCTGACAAACAACCCCATACCATTATCCCTCCCCCTCCAAACTTTAGAGTTGGCAACGTTCTCCTGGCACCCGCCACACCCAGACTCAGACAAATAAGCGTGACTCATCACTGCACCAAACGAGTCCAGTGGCAGTGTGCTTCACACCACTCCATCTGACGCTTGGCACTGCGCTTGGTGATGTGAGGCTTGCATGCAGCTGCTCGGCCATTGAAGCCCATTCCATGAAGCTCCCAGTGCACAGTGTTTGTGCTGGAGTTAATGTCTGAGGGTCTATTTAGTATCCACTGCAGGACTGAACTCACCTGATCGTATCAGAGAGCTTCACTGATTTGACTCATATTTATGTGGCTCTAGATATCATCAGAAATTTTCTCATCAGCAGCCTTAAAAAGAAAAACAAAACAAGAAACTTTGCTCATTACCTCCTGTCAGTCTAGTTTTCAAAACATCAGTTTATTAAGCAAAGTATATCTATGAATTTTAATAATAATTGACACTTTTATTAATCCCTGTGGGGAAAATCTTTTTATGCCTCCCTCAACTTGCTCTTTGTAGAGCAAGCTGTCTGTGAAGGGCAGCCACCTGTAGTGGTGCCCAGGGAGCTGGGGGTTGAGGGTCTTGCTCAAGGACCTGCAGATGTGCTGAGGCTGAGCTTGAACCAGTGACCTTGTAATTACAGGCACATGGCTTAGCCCACTGAGCCACACGCTGCCCCTTAACCTGCATGCATTATTAAAATGCATTATTAAATTATTATTTAAATTATTATACACTTATAGTCAGAATAGAAATATCAAGCCTGATGACCAAAAAAAGCGTGAAAAGCGTGTCTGTAAATGCAAGGCACCTGAAGGAATCTGCAGGTGTTGGCACTTTGACAGGAATTGTTCAAAATCTCGGGGTTAAGTCCTCTTCTCATCTCTGAGTCAGACCCAGCCTGCTCCCCAGGCATAATCTGCCAGCCAACCAGTTCGTGTGAACCATGTATTGGTAAGTACATCACACAGCACTCCAAGTTAGTGTATTCATGTTAGTAAACATTCTTCTCACCTGACATTTTTGTAACTGGGTGTGTTTGTTTACCCCCGCCCCAGCAACCTGGACCCAAGTTCTGTTCTGTCACCTGTCCAGAAAATGCAGCAGCTATTGGATCCCCATTGTCCCTGCAAACGAGGATCCCTTCCTTAATAGACTAGCAATTTACAGTGGTATTACCATGGAGTTGTGGTCGAAAGCCAGGTAGCGCCC